GAGAGTGACTGTGAGAGAGAGAGAGACAGTGTGTGTGTGTGTGAATCAGAGAGTGACTGTGAGAGAGAGAGGGAGAGAGACAGTTTGTGTGTGTGTGTGTGACTCAGAGAGTGACTGAGAGAGAGAGACAGTCTGTGTGTGTGTGTGTGACTCAGAGAGTGACTGTGAGAGAGAGAGAGACAGTCTGTGTGTGTGTGTGAGACTCAGAGAGTGACTGACAGAGAGAGAGAGAGAGACAGTGTGTGTGTGTGTGACTCAGAGAGTGACTGTGAGAGAGAGAGAGAGACAGTCTGTGTGTGTGTGTGAGACTCAGAGAGTGACTGACAGAGAGAGAGAGAGACAGTGTGTGTGTGTGTGACTCAGAGAGTGACTGTGAGAGAGAGAGAGAGACAGTCTGTGTGTGTGTGTGTGAGACTCAGAGAGTGACTGACAGAGAGAGAGAGACAGTGTGTGTGTGTGTGTGACTCAGAGAGTGACTGTGAGAGAGAGAGAGAGACAGTCTGTGTGTGTGTGTGAGACTCAGAGAGTGACTGTGAGAGAGAGAGAGAGAGACAGTCTGTGTGTGTGTGACTCAGAGAGTGACTGTGAGAGACAGAGAGACAGTCTGTGTGTGTGTGTGACTCAGAGAGTGACTGTGAGAAAGAGAGAGACAGTCTGTGTGTGTGTGTGACTCAGAGAGTGACTGTGAGAGAGAGAGAGAGACAGTCTGTGTGTGTGTGTGACTCAGAGAGTGACTGTGAGAGAGAGAGAGAGACAGTCTGTGTGTGTGTGTGTGACTCAGAGAGTGACTGTGAGAGAGAGAGACAGTCTGTGTGTGAGTCTCAGAGAGTGACTGTGAGAGGGAGAGAGACAGTCTGTGTGTGTGTGTGACTCAGAGAGTGACTGTGAGAGAGAGAGAGACAGTCTGTGTGTGTGTGTGACTCAGAGAGTGACTGTGAGAGAGAGAGAGACAGTGTGTGTGTGTGTGTGTGACTCAGAGAGTGACTGTGAGAGAGAGAGACAGTCTGTGTGTGTGTGTGACTCAGAGAGTGACTGTGAGAGAGAGAGAGACAGTCTGTGTGTGTGTGTGTGACTCAGAGAGTGACTGTGAGAGAGAGAGACAGTGTGTGTGTGTGTGACTCAGAGAGTGACTGTGAGAGAGAGAGACAGTCTGTGTGTGTGACTCAGAGAGTGACTGTGAGAGAGAGAGAGACAGTCTGTGTGTGTGACTCAGAGAGTGACTGTGAGAGAGAGAGACAGTGTGTGTGTGTGTGTGAGACTCAGAGAGTGACTGTGAGAGAGAGAGAGAGAGACAGTCTGTGTGTGTGTGACTCAGAGAGTGACTGTGAGAGAGAGAGACAGTGTGTGTGTGACTCAGAGAGTGACTGTGAGAGAGAGAGACAGTCTGTGTGTGTGTGTGACTCAGAGAGTGACTGTGAGAGAGAGAGAGACAGTCTGTGTGTGTGTGTGACTCAGAGAGTGACTGTGAGAGAGAGACAGTGTGTGTGTGTGTGACTCAGAGACTGACTGTGAGAGAGAGAGAGACAGTGTGTGTGTGTGTGACTCAGAGAGTGACTGTGAGAGAGAGAGACAGTGTGTGTGTGTGTGTGACTCAGAGAGTGACTGTGAGAGTGAGAGAGAGACAGTCTGTGTGTGTGTGTGAGACTCAGAGAGTGACTGTGAGAGAGAGACAGTCTGTGTGTGTGTGTGAGACTCAGAGAGTGACTGTGAGAGAGAGAGACAGTCTGTGTGTGTGTGACTCAGAGAGTGACTGTGAGAGAGAGACAGTCTGTGTGTGTGTGTGTGACTCAGAGAGTGACTGTGAGAGAGAGAGACAGTCTGTGTGTGTGTGACTCAGAGAGTGACTGTGAGAGTGAGAGAGAGACAGTCTGTGTGTGTGAGACTCAGAGAGTCACTGTGAGAGAGAGAGAGAGACAGTCTGTGTGTGTGACTCAGAGAGTGACTGTGAGAGACAGAGAGACAGTCTGTGTGTGTGTGTGTGACTCAGAGAGTGACTGTGAGAGAGAGAGAGAGACAGTGTGTGTGTGTGACTCAGAGAGTGACTGTGAGAGAGAGAGAGACAGTCTGTGTGTGTGTGTGTGACTCAGAGAGTGACTGTGAGAGAGAGAGGGAGAGAGACAGTTTGTGTGTGTGTGTGACTCAGAGAGTGACTGAGAGAGAGACAGTCTGTGTGTGTGTGTGACTCAGAGAGTGACTGTGAGAGAGAGAGAGACAGTCTGTGTGTGTGTGTGTGAGACTCAGAGAGTGACTGACAGAGAGAGAGAGACAGTGTGTGTGTGTGTGTGACTCAGAGAGTGACTGTGAGAGAGAGAGAGAGACAGTCTGTGTGTGTGTGTGAGACTCAGAGAGTGACTGTGAGAGAGAGAGAGAGAGACAGTCTGTGTGTGTGTGACTCAGAGAGTGACTGTGAGAGACAGAGAGACAGTCTGTGTGTGTGTGTGACTCAGAGAGTGACTGTGAGAGAGAGAGAGAGACAGTGTGTGTGTGTGACTCAGAGAGTGACTGTGAGAGAGAGAGAGACAGTGTGTGTGTGTGTGAATCAGAGAGTGACTGTGAGAGAGAGAGGGAGAGAGACAGTTTGTGTGTGTGTGTGTGACTCAGAGAGTGACTGAGAGAGAGAGACAGTCTGTGTGTGTGTGTGTGACTCAGAGAGTGACTGTGAGAGAGAGAGAGACAGTCTGTGTGTGTGTGTGAGACTCAGAGAGTGACTGACAGAGAGAGAGAGAGAGACAGTGTGTGTGTGTGTGACTCAGAGAGTGACTGTGAGAGAGAGAGAGAGAGAGACAGTCTGTGTGTGTGTGTGAGACTCAGAGAGTGACTGACAGAGAGAGAGAGAGACAGTGTGTGTGTGTGTGACTCAGAGAGTGACTGTGAGAGAGAGAGAGAGACAGTCTGTGTGTGTGTGTGAGACTCAGAGAGTGACTGACAGAGAGAGACAGAGAGACAGTCTGTGTGTGTGTGAGACTCAGAGAGTGACTGTGAGAGAGAGAGAGAGAGACAGTCTGTGTGTGTGTGTGAGACTCAGAGAGTGACTGACAGAGAGAGACAGAGAGACAGTCTGTGTGTGTGTGAGACTCAGAGAGTGACTGTGAGAGAGAGGGAGACAGTGTGTGTGTGTGTGTGAGACTCAGAGAGTGACTGTGAGAGAGAGAGAGACAGTGTGTGTGTGTGTGTGACTCAGAGAGTGACTGTGAGAGAGAGGGAGACAGTGTGTGTGTGTGTGTGAGACTCAGAGAGTGACTGACAGAGAGAGAGAGAGACAGTCTGTGTGTGTGTGTGAGAGTGATCGGAGAGACCCGGCTGAACCACTCGCTTACCACCGTACCGAGTTAGCCCTCACTCACTCGTGCACACCGCCCCTAATGCTAACGCGGCGGCGAGCACGCACACGCCCCTGCAGGAGATTACATTCTAATACTCGCACACACTCGGCACACCGCACACCGCACTGATGCTCTGTGCTAACGTACCTCGCAGCTGCAGCTCACGGTGTCGCGCGGACGCCGTGCGAGTCGCAAGGGGGGGATGGCGGAATTGAAAACCTCGCCGCGGCACTCGCTGGCATCGCGCGGACGCTGCTAGCTGCTCGGGGAGGGGGGGTAGGGAGGGGGGATGGGGCGCTAGGCGACAAAGCTCTTGAAATAGTAAATAGGTTTTTATCCTTTTAACTGGCACGAAAAAACTGACACCTTTATACAAGGGGATCATTGTTTGCAATAACCGCAACACAAGCGGTCAAAAATGCAAACAAAAAGAGACAACTCTGATAATAATAATATTGGCACTGTCCTTTATTATTATCAGAGTTGTCTCTTTTTGTTTGCATTTTGACCGCTTGTGTTGCGGTCATTGCAAACACGACGCCTTGGAATAAAGGTGTCAGTTTTTTGCGCCAGTTAAAAGGGTAAAAAACCTATTACTAAATCTTGTTACTGGCAAAGGAGGTCTCAATAATGTAAAAGCTCTTGAAGATGAGATCTCTCTGAATGGTTCTTTGGCCTCAAAAAATCTCGGCGTTACGTTGTCCTGCCCGGCCGATGGCGCGCCCCAACCTGCGACTTTCAAAATAGTTTCTCTGCCCTCACGCGGAGCGCCGCGACGGTTATTTCTCGGTCCGTCGGCCTCCGCGCCCCGCACTCGTTAATTCCTGACGCTCGGCCCGTTCAATCCGCGAGGGCGTTCGTGCTGCCGGCGTGCCGTTTGGGGGTCCGTGCAGACAATGGTCGTCGGCTCTGCTCGCCTAACGTCTCACGGCAGCCCCCTCCGGCGATGTCGTGCGCCGCTCGCTGCTGGCCGGCTTTCGTGACTGCAAGGGTTCACGCTCTTTGCCCGTTGGTCCTGTTCGTTAAAGTCACGTGAAAAGAAAACAACAACAAGAAAATTCTCACGACGTTTCGGCCACAACACAAGCGGCCTTCATCAGGTGAAGGGACGAGACTGTCTGGTAGGACAGCGCTGGAGCGAACACAGCCACAAGCTCAGACCGCGACCTTTAAGCTGCGTGAGAGGAAGCAGAGCGCCTTGACAAAGGAATTAGCATAAACATTGGCATTTAAAATTTAGCATTTAATTGTGCGGACTCTTTGGTTATACTCGGTAAAAGTCACGTAGTAGGGTAAAACAAATTAAAATGAATTAAAATAAAATAATTGCTTATTTCATTTTATTTTACTTTAATGTATTTTAAATTTGCTTTACCCTACTACGTGACTTTTACCGAATAAAACCAAAGAGTGATTTTAAGCCAATTTAGGGGGCACCGCGATGGGACTTGTTCTGTCCAGGTCGGCCAATCTCGTGGCACCGGGAAACCGCGGGACTCCCCACCTAGGGGCCCTTGGGATGAAAATCCGTTGTGCCAGGCAATCCCCTCGCCGGGACAGAGAGAGACAGAGTGAGAGACTGAGAGTGTGATCCTGACCCAAGGTTTGTCTCCTTCTCTCCCCCTCGTGCCCCCCCCCCCTCCCCCCCCCCCTTCCCCCGTGCGTCTTCCCCCGCAGAGACCGCTGGAGAAGCCGGACGGGCTGGACGTGTCAGATCAGAGCAAGGAGCACCCCCAGCACCTGTGCGAGAAGTGCAAGGTGCTGGGATACTACTGCCGTAGAGTGCAGTAGATAGACTCACACACACTCACACACACACACATAGACATACACAGACACACACACACAGACTCACACATACACAGACACACACACATACACACACATACACAGACTCACACACATACACACACACACATACACACATAGACACACATACACACACACACTCACACAGACACACACATACACACATAGACACACACACAGACACACTCACACAGACTCACACACATACACACGGACACACTCACAAAGACACACAGACACACACAGACTCATAGAGACACACTCACAAAGACACACACAGACACATACACATACACAGACTCATACAGACACACACAGACACACATAGACACAAAGACAAACACACAGAAACACACATACACTCACACAGACACAGAGACACACAGACAGAGACTCACACAGACACACACACACAGACACACATAGACACATACACAGAAACACACAGACACTCACACAGACACAGAGACACACAGACAGAGACTCACACAGACACACACAGACTCGCACAGAGACAAATACAAAGATCCCCCGTACAGCCTTAACTGGCTGTAGGGGCAAGTGCTGTTAGCGAGCACCGCATATGAGTAAGGGGAATGGTGTGGCTGGAATCAGGTATTCCCGGCCGCCTTTGTATCCCCAGTGAGATCGATCAGTCTCATCACAGAGACGCTCTCTATGCAAGTGAATAGCTCTTTTTTGGTGAAGTATAGTTTTGGGTTATGGAGTTCACAGAGCCAGACTAAGGCTCCCTCCCATAGGGTTCAGTGTTAATGTTTGAGGCTCACAGAGCCAGACTAAGGCTCCCTCCCATAGGGTTCAGGGTTAATCTCTGATGCTCACAGAGCCAGACTAAGTCTTCCATAGGCTTCAGTGTTAATCTCTGATTCTCACAAAACCAGACTAAGGCTCCCTCCCATAGGGTTCAGTGTTAATGTTTGATGCTCACAGAGCCAGACTAAGGCTACCACAGGGTTCAGTGTTAATCTCTGATGTTCACAGAGCCAGACTAAGTCTCCCACAGGGTTCAGTGTTAATCTCTGATGTTCACAGAGCTAGACTAAGTCTTCCATAGGGTTCAGTGTTAATCTCTGATGTTCACAGAGCCACACTAAGTCTTCCATAGGGTTCAGTGTTAATGTTTGAGGCTCACAGAGCCAGACTAAGGCTACCACAGGGTTCAGTGTTAATCTCTGATGCTCACAGAGCCAGACTAAGGCTCCCCCTCCCACAGGGTTCAGTGTTAATCTCTGATGTTCACAGAGCCACACTAAGTCTTCCATAGGGTTCAGTGTTAATCTCTGAGGCTCACAGAGCCAGACTAAGTCTCCCACATGGTTCAGTATTAATCTCTGAGACTCACAGAGCCAGACTAAGGCTCCCTCCCACATGGTTCAGTATTAATCTCTGAGGCTCACAGAGCCACACTAAGTCTCCCATAGGCTTCAGTGTTAATGTTTGAGACTCACAGAGCCACACTAAGTCTCCCATAGGCTTCAGTGTTATTGTTTGAGACTCACAGAGCCACACTAAGTCTCCCATAGGCTTCAGTGTTGATGTTTGAGACTCACAGAGCCACACTAAGTCTCCCACACGCTTCAGTGTTAATCTCTGATGCTCACAGAGCCACACTAAGTCTTCCACATGGTTCAGTGTTAATCTCTGATGCTCACAGAGCCACGCTAAGTCTCCCATAGGCTTCAGTGTTAATGTTTGATGCTCACAGAGCCACACTGAGTCTCCCACACGCTTCAGTGTTAATCTCTGAGGCTCACAGAGCCACGCTGAGTCTCCCACACGCTTCAGTGTTAATCTCTGAGGCTCACAGAGCCACGCTGAGTCTCCCACAGGCTCCAGTGTTAATCTCTGAGGCTCACAGAGCCACGCTCGGTGAGCGAGCGGAGAGACACCCGTGCTTGTGCGGCGTCCCCAGCAGCCGGGCCCGCTTCGCACCGCAACTTCCCCTTGCCCGCAACTCGAGTCGCGCGCCACCCGTGGTCGCCCGCGACTCGAATCGCCGGCAACCGAACGTCGCCGGCGACCCCGCACTTTCCAGCAGCTTTCAGCTGCGCCCGGCTTGGCATTGCCTCGCTCAGACTCGCCGGGTCGCGCGCTGAGCCGCCGTCGCTCTGCGACTCAAGTCGCCTGCAACCCCGCCCCGGGGGGCCCTGCGACCGCCCAGCAACTCGGCTGCCCGCAACTTGCGTCGCTCTGCAACTCCGCTGGCACCGCGGACCGCGTTGCAACAAACGGGTTTGCTCGCGACGGGCTCTTTTCGCCGGGGATCCGGAGCGGTCGCGAGCAGATTTCGCCGGAGCAACCCGGGGCACCGACGCAACCGGTTGCCGCAATTGTTGGCCGCTGGGCGCAACTGGTTGCTCGCTGAGCGGTGGAGCCTCCCCCCCCCCCACCCCCACCCCCGCCCCCCCCCGGCTGGTTGGTGTGAAGGTTGCGTTAGAAAATTCGGATAAAGCTCTGCCACTGCCTAAAATGTATAAATTAGCTCTGACCGACCGGCATGAGTTGGATTCCCGCGTGTGTGTGTGTATGTGACGTGCATGATGGGATTCTATCTATATATATTCAGTTGTTTCTCAAACACAAGGATCTATTAATCAGTTAACGCGAGTGCGGTTTTTTTTTCCCCCTCCGTGCTATTCTTATTGGCGTACCGTGAGTTAACCCTCATCCAGAGTGGACGCTTTTGCCGTAAGTGAGCATGGATCACAAGTTGACTGCAATCACTGATCGTAAGTCGACACAGATCGTAAGTCGACACAGATGGCTGGTTAATACAGATCGTAAGTTGACTGATCGTGAGTTTGTCTCTGATCGTAAAGTCGACACAGATCTTAAAGTCGACACAGATCTTAAGTCAACACAGATTGTAAGTTGTCTCTTATCGTAAGTTGTCTCTTATCGTAAGTTGACTCTTATCGTAAAGTCAACACAGATCTTAAGTCGACACAGATCTTAAGTCAACACAGATTGTAAGTTGACTCTTATCGTAAGTTGTCTCTTATCGTAAGTTGTCTCTTATCGTAAGTTGTCTCTTATCGTAAGTTGTCTCTTATCGTAAGTTGGCACAGATTGTAAGTTGACTCTGATCGTAAGTTGTCTTTGATCGTAAGGTGACTCTGATCGTAAGTTGACACAGACAACAATGTGTCTCTTATCATAAGTCGACTGAGTAAGTCAATTCTGATCGCAAGTTAACTCAACCATACGTTTCCGCAGTTGACTTTGCGATTCGTAAATCGATTATTATTATTTTGGAGGGGGGGGGGGGATAAAAGCCACGTGGTGTAACGGTCTGGGCCACATTCACGTCGTAATCCTCTCCACCACCTGGCACTCGTGCGCACGAGAGAGACCGCACCTCCATCCTTGTCTCTGAGTTCTCGCGAGGAAGAAAACTGACCCATTTTGAACTCACTCACCATCTAACTCAGCCATCCACTGCACCATCTATCTCACTCACCCATCCACCATCTCAATCATCCATCCACTCACTCACCCTCTCACTCACCATCTCACTCACCACTCACTCGCACCATTATCTCACTCACCCACCCACTCACCCGCTCACTCGCTCACCCGCCCACCCACCCACTCACTCACCGACCCACCCACTCACTCAACCACCCACGCGCTCACCCACGCACTCACCCACCCACTAACTCACCCACCCACCCACTCACTCACCCACGCACTCACCCACCCACTAACTCACCCACCCACCCACTCACTCACCCACCCACTAACTCAACCACCCACCCTCTAAATCACCGTCCCATCATCCCAAGTAGACGGGGACAGACTTTCAAAGCAGAGATGCGCAACATTTCGCCGCCACGTGAATTGACATCAAAGGTGGCTGTGGTGTTGCTTGCTGGGTGGTGGAGGGTCTCTTACGACACAAACGTTGCCCACCCCAAACAGCAGCATTGCGTACGGAGGGGTTAAGGACCCTCCCCTCCCCTCCCCTCACCCAAAGAACAACAGCAAATTGCGAATCGTGTGTGGACGAAGGCCCGTGTTCGATTCGCGACTATGCATTGCGTGACGACAATCCAGGCTCCGTGCCCCCCCCCCTCTCTCTCTCTCTCTCAGTGTAATTCCTATCACCGTGGTCTATCGATCTCTGTAGTAGCGGTGATGGTGATGATGTATCTATCGCTAAGTGTACGTTTCCTCTAGCTCCGCGTGATCCCGTCTGCGTCTCAGCGTCATTACCGTCGCCACTATGGGGCTTTCCACTGATGGATGAAGGTCGCTGTGGTGATGGTGGTTGATAGTCTCTATCCCCTGTGTGCGTCTTTCTAAATCTACGTGTATTCGATTTTACTGCAATACTATACACAGCCATATATATATAAAAAAGTGTACGTCTATAATTGCTATCAGCATTATCAATATTATTCATCATTGCAATTATGCAGATTATAAAACGCACCCCAATTAAGTGACGCAAATCTGGACTCACGCACACATCAAACAGAGGGAGATAACCCCCGTTGAGCCTTCACAGGCTGATGGGGCAAGCGCTGTTAGTTGTGAGCACCCGCACGGATTCGAATGCTCCCCGGGGACACTGTGGCACACACAACAGAGAGGGTGGGTGGCCAACCCCACGTTTGTCTCCACCCCAGTGGCTGGCGATGTTTACGACACCACCCACCACCACCCACCCACCCACCACCACCGCATCCGGTAACTCATTTGAGGGGAGGCCGATCAGGACCGGTGGTTCGGTTGGGCGGCTGGTGGCCGTGAGCGGGAATGGAACTCGGGGTAGCTGCCCCGGGGATCGTGGCTGCACCACTACTCCACCCCCCTGCCACTCACCGGCAGTGGCCACGCGAACACACGCGGACTTCCCACCACACCAACTTTGTCTTAACTTCAAACACGGGGGACTACGGGGTGCGTCTTATAATCCAGACGACGACGACGATGAAGACGCCGCCGTACTTACAAACGCTGCCGCATCGAGGACGTGTCTTTTTCCTTTGGCTCGA